ACGGTCGCACACTAGTCGCAAACTAACAGGATAAGCAATACTATGTTAAAGCCCGCAGCCCAAATTGCGAGGCGTGACCTTCAAGCGCAGTGCGTTTGAAAGTTGCGTTTTCGTGGGTGTATTGGGGGGTAACGAGACTCTCGTCACTCAGGGGTGCCTTTCAAGTTCAGTGCGGAAGGTAATTTGGAACACCAGGTGCCGAGCGTTTCTCAACCGTCCAGTTTTTCTAGATTTTCATCTGATGGCGCGTAAGCCAAGCACTTCCCCCAGTCAGTCGAAAGGTAATCTCATCCGTCAAACTGTGTGTTTGTAAATCTGACGGTTCACGACAAGCGTTGAATTTGTGAGAGTAAACGCCCTTGCGATTTTCCTGCGTATTTCGTACAGCCTGAGGGTCAAACTTCATACGCAGTGCGTTTGAACAATTTGGGCCGTGGTTTTTAAATCCCATGCATGGGATGCTCACCTGACGCTGCTGGAAGCGCATGTTCAAGTGGTTCAGCTCCGCGAGAATATCGGCGAGGAAGAACTGCATAAACTGCACCTTGAAGGATGTGACCACCTCATACCACCCCTCCGGCTGGTCGAGGAGCAAAACGACAACAGCGAGAAGAATCTCCACGAAGCGAGAGACAGCTTCCCCACGCGCCAGCCAGCGAATGGCGTTGATATCCAGGGCTTCCAAATTCGTGAGGCAGTACACGAGCTGGAAGTTCTTGAAGGAGTGGTGAATGACGTTGCTGCGACCGACGAGGTCCAAATGAGCACGTCGATGATGTTCATCTCTGTGATGCTTTTGGCGGCGTCCTTGGCCGCTAAGTCCTCCCTAAACAGTTAGGGCGGGAGTGGTAGAGAGAGGGGAGAAAGGCGAATTATAAGTGCGGGTAATACAAATAAGGCAAACCTATCAGCAGGCATGCCTCACGATGCAATGGAAGGATACCAAATGCTCGATCCGCCACCTGAGCCTCGTCACCACTCCCGACTGTGCGCCCGTCATCACCGACGCCCCGTCCGTCGACAGGCCGACGATGCGCTGAAGGTCGATGCCGATCGACTTAAGAAACTGGAGAAGGACTGCTGTCAGTGAGGCTGCATCCGTCCGCTCGACAGTCAGCAGAAGTAACGAATTCGGTGACGACTACGCTTCCATGGAAAAAGGTAGCATAGAAAATAAGATGCTTCCCATGAACTCGATCCATACTCTCATCGATTGCAATGCCAAGAAATGGTGAAGACTTGATGTGCCTCAGCTGTTCCTCGCACAGGTAGTCCGAGATGGCCTTCGTCATCTGCTTGAAACCGTAATTGTAAGACGGGCGGGGGAGAGGCACATTGAGATAGAGTAAGGCCATAGTGTGATGTAATAAGAAGGAACACCTATACAGTGACGGAAACAATTGTCCGGATGTTTTGTATTAACTCGGGTTTTGGGCTTTCTGACCACTGTACAGAAAGTCTGAATGTTTAATGGTGGTACGCTTTGGGAGGGGCACATAGTGGATGTGTTCACAGCTCTAAAATCCATAATAGTACACTAGATCTAACTTAGTGCCAAAAGATACAAAGAATACATCCAGACAATTGTTTCCCAGGACAAAGAGCAAACTTCCGAAGAGCGTTTCTAGTGCCTAGTCCATCGACCCTTGGCCTTGATAATCACCCGCACCCTCCTAGGCATGTTATCTACGAGGTTAGTGCAAACCTTTGCATGGATCTTCTTGCACTCTTCCTGGACCCACCCTTCTGCATAAGGGTGCGAGCACTAGGAAAATTGCGAAGGCTATGAGCATATGCAAGAGTATTGTGCACTAGCCACTGATTCAATGTGATAACTTAGACTAGCCACGCTAAGGTGTCACCAAAGATGCCATTGGCCAATTGGTCCTGTCTTTTCATGGGTCGTCTTCGTCGTACCGTTGTAGGGTAAAATTACTTACAGAGTGGCGAGAAATATGTATCCGCCGCGAAACTTAGTGTAACATAGCACGGTCGACTGTGCACCCTTTCACTAATAAAATGATGTTAAAATCCACGGGCCTCGTCTCGGTGCAGTAGTCGAAGAAGCCCTGACTGGTGGGGAAGAATACCTAGGTTAAGGTCTAGTGAGGAAGAGGGTCACTACAGTGCTACATACGCATGTTCTCAAGGCCATTCCAAGCCTATGCGGGAAAAATGGCTTGGAATGGCTTGGAGAGCATGAGTATGCTGCGTTGGAGTGAACCTTTTTCCTCATTAGACCTCACATCAAGCATTCTTCTCGAACACTCGTGACTTTTTTTACTGCTGCACCATGACGAGACCTGCGGATCATAGCATGATTCTAGTATTGCAAGGGTGCACAATTGACCGTGCTACATCACCCTGAGTTTCGCATCGTATACGATAGTTTTTGTCGCTCTGTTCCTGGTTTTACCCTACAGCCCTTTGACGAAGACGATCCATGAAAAGACGGGACCAATTGGCTAATGGCATCTTTGGTCACACCTCAGCATGGCTAGTCTAAGAGATCACATTCAATAAAAAATCGTGCACAATAATCTTGCTTACGCTCATATCCTTCCCGATTTTCCTAGTGCTCACCCCCTTATGCAAAATGGTGGGTCTAGGAAGAGTGCGAGAAGATCCCTGCAAAGGTTTGCACTAACCTGGTAGAAAACATGCCTAGGAGGGTGCAGGTGGTGATCAAGGCCAAGGGTCGATGGACAAGGTACTAGCAACGCTCTTCAGAAGTTTGCTCTTTGTCCTGGGAAACAATTGTCCGGATGTACTCTTTGTATATCTTTTAACATTAAGTTAGATCCAGTGTACTACTATGTATTTTAGCACTGTGAACCCATCCACTATGTGCCCCTCCCACAGCGTACCACCATTAAACATTAAGACTTTATGTACAGTGGTCGGGAAGCCCAAAAACCCTAGTTAATGTAAAACATCCGGACAATTGTTTCCGTCACTGTACAACAGACGCATTTACACATAGGACATCAAGTGGACGTACGGAGCAACGACACACATGTCTTGCAGGGCGGGCAATAGATATTGTACTCACTCTGTGTAGTAAGTCTCATACGCCCCACCTTGGGGAAAATCTGGCAAACCTTCTGCAGCCAGGAAGAAATAGAGGGCGACGTAGAGGGCGATCGGGGCATCGGCCTTGCAGACGAACATGGCTATATAGAGGCAACGGATTAGGTGCTTCGTGGACACGTCAGAATCCCAAAATCGTTCCAGCGTCTTCTGTTGGGCCTTCTCCATCACTCGGTCCGCCTGAGCCATTAACGCCTACATGTGCGCGCGGGTCCCCAGATGGATGCGGATACAGCCGACTTGGAGGTCTTGGGCGCCTTCACCCTTCTTCCCGTAGTTCGTATTAGAGAACACGTCCTCGTACTGCAAGCAAATCGCACACTTCAAGGAGGGACAACCGTTTTTCAAGCGAGTAAGACGCAACCAGGGAAAACGGGGGGAGCAATCATCAACAAACCGCCTCTTCATAACCTCATACTCGGCATCAGCAGGGGGCAGGGTCTCGAGCGATGGGATTGGCTGATCAGGCAGAGGCGACGGAGCTGCAGGCCTCTTTAGCGGCGGCGCCCAGGGAAGACGCCGCTGGGTCCACATGATGCTGGCCTTCCGTTTGGCGTCGTGTACATGACAATACGACGGAGTGCGACCCGCGGCGGACGAGGTACCCTCTCCATGCTCTAAATCGAGGTCGATGTGCTCGGCATGCGACTCGGAGCGAGGGGAGATCGGCTCGAAAGGATACTGAACAAGCGGAGCCGTAGAGTGATGGGCATGGGAAGGACTAGACGGCGAGGATCGAGCCACTCTAGGGGGCAGGAGAGGGAATACCCCGAGAACGCTAAGGTCGTTTGTAGGAGGGGGTTCCTCTGAGAGATCATCGACAATGCCTTCCATATGTAGAGGAAGGAATGGATGGAAGGTACCGCTAGAAGAGACGAGACATAATAGATGGAGGGAGAAGTTTGGGGAGCTTTCAGCAAGGAGAGGTTAGTGCAGGAAGCACGTCGACCTCGAGAGGGTCGATCGACGTGCAGCCAAGCGGTCGACGCGAACCGCTCAGAGGGATCTTCGGCTGTAAGCGCAAAGGGTGGCTGCATGCTGCAGTAGCAACCACATGCGGCTGCCACCCAGAGGAGGGGGGAGGGAGAGGCAGCGTGGGTGAGGAATGGTGGCAGCAAAGTAGGATTGCTGCCAAAGGCACCAATCGGTGAGCGCCGCGCAGCCAGCGCTCAATGTTATGCGGTGGAATATTCCCCAGCGCATGTGCGACGAGGGCGGGAAAGAGGTCACGAAAGTGCGAGTGGCACGGGACGAGGCTGCACTCATCTGCTGGAAATCTCGCACGAATCCTGCCCCTGAGGGATTCTGTATCGGGGTATTTTCCAGCGCACCCTGACGCCTTAGGGTAGCAGATCCGCAACCGACTTTCTGAATGGGTAGAAAAAAAACGCACTCTTTTTCAATCAGAGTAAAAAAAATCCCAAGTCGGATTTTTAAAAGTACCACGAAAAATACACTGAAAAATCAGGGCAATCTAGGCATTTCACCCAGCTATTTTGGGCCCTGATGAGGGTAAGTAAACAATCTTCTAACCCACATCGTTTTGCAGACGACCGTCAATCTCACAGCCAGTAAAGCGTAAGCCGTTACTGTACGCCAAGCCACATCACCAGAAGCCAAACCAAACATCAGATGCTTGCTTGCGTTTCTGGCTCTCAGTGGTCATCGCCCGCGTGGATGCGCCTTTCGTCAAAGGCGCTCACCAAGCCATCAGACAACCCACCACCTACTTTCGTGTGGATGGCGAAGGCGCGTGGGGCGTGGTAACCATCCCAGCACTCTGCAGCGAAGAGAAGCGACAGCACTAGAGGTGAGGGCGGAGGGAGAGATTGATGGGGCGGGGCGACTGCAATCTGGGCTCCCGCTGCCCTAGAGCACAACTGTGGCACTACCTCGCCTCACAAAAGCATTGTCAACCAATCGTCTTGACTCCAACATACCCGGGCTAGAGATAAAGCCCGCATTTCAAGCGCCTAACAGCCCGGACCACTAACGAGCGCCTTGTGAAGTATTGATGCTACGATTTAGCCGTCTTATTCCGGGCTCCCCCCCCGTGCTGTCGCCGCCGTGGCGTCACATTCGTCGCGCATGTGGATCCGCGCCGTTGCCTCCACCATGTGACGGGTCCGTGCCACCTGCCGTCACGCAGATCGAATCATCGCTCTCACCCGCTAGTAATTCCCGCGCATAGCGGTCCGTGGCGCGTGCCGGCATGGCCCGGGTGACGGCCGCCGCGTCGTCGCGAGGTGCGTACCGCGGCCGAGGCAGCGGCGGCAGCAGCGGTGGCAGCAGCGCGGCGAGCGGTGGCGGCGGTGGCAAGTCACCGGCGTGGATGTACCACCAGCTGCCGATCATCGTGCTCACCATCACCAACATCATCATCGTCAGCATGCTCTACAGGTGCGTGCCACCCTTGCCCCCTGCTACACGCCCGCCGCACCTCGCCCACATGCGCGATCCTTCAATCGCATGCGCACGAATCTTCGTGTCACGGCCTCGCGCGCTGCTCGCTTCGCCCTCGTCCTGGCGGCGGCGATCCGCCGGGCAGGCCTGCGCGCGCGGCGTGGTGGCGTGGCGTCATGGCGACCGCAGCGCCCACCCAGGCCGGCGCGCTCACGGCTCGCCGGTCGCTGCACAGGCCAGCGTGACGCGCGGGTGGGGCTGGACGGGTGCGGGCAGCCCGCGCGCTGGCGCAGATGAGGCGAGAGGGCGGAGCGCAGGGAGTGGCGGGATGGCGGCGGGCGTGGCGTTGAGCCTGGCGAGCACGGCGCTCACCTCGCTGCCACGCCTCACCATGCGCCCGCATGGGCCGCCGCTCCTCCCACCCGCGCCATGCCCATGCCCGCCTCGCCTCTGCGTCACACGCGCCCCCTCACCATGCTCTACTTTGGCCCTGGCGGGCAGTGGGGTCTCCGTTTCCGATTGGGTCCGTGACAGTGAAGTCACAGATCGGCGGTCCCGGATGGCTAGGTCCGCCTTGTGACCGTCTCTCTCTCTCTCTCTGTCTCTCTCTCTCTCTCTCTCTCTCTCTCTCTCTCTCTCTCTCTCTCTCTCTCTCTCTCTCCCTCTCTGTCTCTCTCTCTCTCTGTCTCTCTCTCTCTCTCTCTCTCTCTCTCTCTCTCTCTCTCTCTCTCTCTCTCTCTCTCTCTCTCTCTCTCTCGAATGGTCCTTTGTTGCTGGGGAATCCTGGGTACATGCTAGGCAAGTGGAGCAGGCACAGGTAAATATTACCGGTGGGGAGGTTTAGTACCCGGTCCTACCACCCCCCCTCCCTCCCCTAATGCTCTAGCACGGCGAAGCAGTCCCCGAGGGACATGCCCGCATCGGGTCCCCCCAAGGGGGGCCACTCCAGCGGTGACACTTCGTTCACCTTCCCCAGGTAGGTTAGTGCCTGTCCCCGTTGGAGGGTGACTGACCAGCGCTGGCGAAACTGGTTGAGTAGTTTCGCCGCCTGGTAAGAACTGGGGTCGGCGTTGAAGAGGCGCCGGGCAGCCGTGTGGGCTAAAAGTTTGAGGAAGACCGGCACTTCCGTGCAAGGGCAGCCGTATGTCTCGACAGCAAGCGGGAAGAAGCCGACGTACTCTGCCCTGTGGCGGTACATGTCGATCTTCTTGTCCGCCTGCTCCCTGGCCATGTAACCGCGTCCCTTGCGGGCGAGGGGGTCCCTGGAGCTGACTGGGTCCGTGACTGTGACGTCGCAGATCCAGACCGCCCCTGAGTCCCGGTCCCGGATGGCTAGGTCGGCTGTCTTGCCGTCGACCGGGTTGTATAGGGCTGTTTCTTTCGAGACAATGAGTTGTGCGTCTTGGCCCATGCGAATGCATTCGTCCCGGAGGGCGTTGTGTGTATCAGTGCGTCCGTGCCCCGTCCCGCAGCGGAATAAGTGGTTGGGGAGCCGTGGGTCCGGGATCTCGGTCTTCTTGGCGCAATTGCACACTTTTGGCGCGGGGAAAGGGAGGCCCAGGCGGAAGGCGAGGGCTATGGCGAAGTGGGGAGGTGCCAGCCTGAGTGATGGGAAGAGGGGGACTGCGAGGAGCCAGTCCCCTGCTCCGTACCCTGTGAGGGAGAGGAGCCGCTGCGTGTGACTGCTGAGGGGGTTTAGCTCCATGTGCCTGGTCGATTCTAGCTGCTCGGCGAACCGGGCAGCGTGGACCTCCAGGGCGAGGCGGTGCTGGAGCGGAGCTTCGGATGGTTCCGAGGGCTCGGCGCGCAGGAGTTCCCGGGCGGTGGCCGGCAGCGCCGCCTCGCACTCAGCTAGCCAGGTGTGAAGGGGGGTGGGGCTGGTGTAGGGTGGTGCGAGGGAGCGGGCCACTGTCCCGAGGGGGGCGGATGGGTCTGGGGCGAGGGAGGCCAGGAGCCGTTGGGCGTGGGTGACGCTGGTGAGGAGGGCATGGGGTCCCTCCACTGTGGGGTCCGTCAAGCCGAGCCCTCCGAGGGAGGGGGGGAGCGAGGCCTGTTGCCAAGTGCGCGACATCTCCTGTTCCCCCCGTGGGAGCTGGAGATGGCAGGCCCTCAGGAGGGTGAGGTAGAGTTGCTGCCCCCACTGGGACCACTCCTGTGCTGGGAGCAGGTTCAGCGGCGTCGTGCGGGTCAGGTAGGAGACCCGACGAGAGACGCAGCGGTGGAGGAGGAGGCTGGCGGTCTGGGGGTCCATGGCTGCCAGGGTTGGCAGTGGCTTGGCCATTGCGGCCAGTTGCTCACGCAGGAAGCTGGCTGCTGCATCTGGGGGACCGATATGGCTGCCCAGGATCCGCAACCCGGAGGCGCAGAAGGGGATCCCGGGGGGGAGGGAGTCGGGGGGGGGATGGGCCGCGGACCATGCTGCGCACTTAGCCGGGTTGTGGGTCAGGCCGAGAGGAAGGAGCGCGTGGGTGAGGTGGGCGAATGCGGCTGTGCATGCGGCCGGCTCCCCCATCAAGGTGATGTCGTCGACGTATGCCAGGCAGAGGACGCGGGGAAACGCTTGGGCGGTCTCTCGCAGGGCGGGATGCATGGCGGCGGCAAAGAGCAGAGGTCCCATGGGGTCCCCTTGCCTGACGCCGCGGGCGCTGAGGAGGGGCTGGCTGTCAAAGCCCGCGTCCAAGAAAAGAGTGGAGGGGGCGCCGTAGGAGAGTTGTACGAAGGGGAGGAGGGGGCGGAGCGGGGAGTTATAGAGCCCTGTGATGATGGCCCCGCGGTCGACGCTGTTGAAAGCGTTAGAAAGGTCAAGTTGGAGCAGGAGGGCAGACGGGGATTCCGTGGCGAAAGCTCTCGCGCCATGGATTATCGCCTCGCCGCCGGCCCTTACCGCCACCCCGAACTGCAGTGGGAGGAAGTGGCTTTGGGCGGGCTCGTTCATGGCGGCGAGGCCCGCTTTCGCCACTAGGCGGTGGAGGCATTCGCCCACTGCTATTGGGCGGGTGCCCCCCTCTGGCTTCGGGAACGCTAGCAGGCGGCTAGCTGTGAGGAGCCCGGCTACCTCTGGAGTGGTGGATCCTTTTAGGAGGATTTGTGCTACCCCGTGCAGTTTGCTGGCGACTGAGGCGTTCGCGAGGGCTGCGTCGCGAAGGTGTTCGAAGCACATGCCCGACGGTCCCGCGCCCTATGTTGGAAAAAACGCACAGCAAGCTTTGCGTATTGCGTATATACGCTTGCGAATATACGCAATACGCTGATACGCTTGGAATACGCGATACGCAATATCGGGGCTGCCCGGCAAAAAAAAAAAAAAAATCAAAATTTTTTTGCCGAGTTCGCGACATCGCGAACTCTCAGAAATTTTCGCCCGCGGTTTTTCGCCCACCCCTCACCAGCCGTGGACGTGGAGGGAAGGCATCCCGTGTTTGTCGTCCCCCATTCCCGCCATAGTTTAGATCTGAATCACCATCTCCTTTCATTTTCCAACTCCAACCTCTCCCTCCCCTAGCTTAGCTTAGCTCAGTTCCCCTCTTACTTCACCGTAGTGGTCATGGCGTCGTCCACCCCATCAACCCCCCCGAGCGTGCCCGCACCTACTAACGATGGCGAGGCTGCCTCCTCCTCCGGCACTGTTTACGTTACGGATGCGTCGCATCCTATTTTTAAGCAACTCGAAACCGCGCTTAATGCGGACGGCAAGACTACGGAAAACCGCCGCTGCTGTTATTGCGGGCACACCTTCAATGGCGGGATGACGCGTTGCGCGCAGCACCTCGCCGAGTGGAACAAACTTCGTCGTCGCGATGTGACCCTCTGCACCGCGGTGACGCAAGACGTGCGCGACGGAGTTAAGGCGCTGTACGAGGCACGAATTAGGGAGCGGGAGGGGAAGCGCGAGGCGGAGGAGCAAGCGCTGTCTGCGGTTAACGGCTGCGGCAGCGGCAAAAAGGGGCGCATCACCAATTTTTTCGGTGACGAGTCCGCCTGCCGTAAGAAGGAAGCGGACCGGGCGCTCTGCCTCCTCTTCGCTGGTCTGCGCCTGCCGGAGCATCACGCGGACCACGTCCTCTTCCGGAATGCGGTCTCCGCCATCGCTCGCGCCGGCACTTCCTACGTTCCCCCGAAGCGCAAGTACATCGGCGGTGCCGGCCTGCGCGACTGCCGCACCAGTATCGAGGCCGCGCTGGTTCCCATCTCCAGCAGCTGGCGGCGGAGCGGCGTCACCATTGCTAGCGATATGATGACGGACCAGAACGGCCGGCCCATCGCCAACGTCCTCCTTATCAACGACTCCGGAGCAGTTTTTACTGATGCTGTGGACACAAACATGGAAATGAAGACCGGCGGCTATATTGCCGGTATTCTCCGCCCTATTATCCAGCGCGTTGGGCCGCTGCGGCTAAGTAACCGAACGAAATCGGCCAGCGAGATGGAGGGGAGTCGCTCAGACTCGTCGAGGGCAGGCCAGTCAAGGGACTCAGTCAGAGGGGGGGGGTGTTTGGAGGTCAGTGCGGCGAGGACCTCCGGCGTTGACTCGCTGACCGGGGTCGAGTCCAGTGCCAGGAGGGCACGCCTGAGGCTGCCACGACGGACGAGGCCCTCGGCGCGGGATATTTTGCCAAGGGTGTCTCCTGAGTGTCGTGGTACAGGTGGGTTGTGTATCGCGTCAGCTGCTGCCAGGTACAGCGATTCCCATTCGCCGGCCAGGAACTGCTGCAGCCTCCGCTCTATCGCTGGCCAATCTGGGTGGCGCGGCGAATTGAGGCGAAGGGTGAGTCGGGGTGTGAAGAGTAACAGGCGCCAGCCCGCGAGGCTAGAAGGGTTTTTTGCGATGTGGAGCAGAGGTGTCAGGAGCGCTAGGGCGAAAAGCTGGCGTAGTTTGGGGGGGATTCGACGGGAAAGTGGGGGCTGGCGACTGTCGCAAAGCCGTCCGATGTCCCAATTTGCGATCCTCGTGAAAAGGGGTTCATTATTCGCCAAGTCTTCTGGCGAGAATTGGCGGG